ATCCTCACCCCGCAGCCCGCGGGCCGCAGGCAGAGGCCGCACGGACCCGTCCCCGCAGGAGCTCGGCACAGACCCGCACAGGGCCCCGCCGAAAAAGGTTTGTTCGGTCGCTCCCCCGGGGAACCCGGCCCGTGTTTAACGGTTCAACTTCGCGTTCCCACCGATGGCTCTTCCGGGATCTGGGAAAAGCAGCCAAGGGGTGTTGGCAGGTGTAACAAAGTGCTGGTACTGGTTTTCCTTCCCGTGTTTGGGCCTTAAAAACGAGTTTGGATGCGGAATTTTAAAGCTCAAATGTCTGTTCCAGAGTTGATTTCTCCTTTCTTTACCTCCGAGGAACCCCCCCCCCTGGGTGTTTCCTCCCTTTCTTGCTCAGTCTTTCTTTAGCTGTTCCCTCTGTTGGGTTTGTGGATGGGATTGACCCTTTGCAATGTCCTAAAAAGCAGAGAATTGCACTTACAGTTTAAAAAAAAAATATCAGAACACCTGATTACTTTAACTACTCCCTGCAGTCCATGCAGAAAGGAGAAAGGCTGGTGGATGAGTTGTTTGGGCTTTGAAATCCTGGGGTGTTTCCCTTGGCAGCCTGATGACGTTTCCAGTGCATTCCCTGTTTCTGGCTAGTTGGTGGAAGGGGAAGTGGGAAGTGCTGTGTCCCTCCTGTAAAGCACTGTAGCTGCTGGGGAGGGGAAGGTCCTCTGGCTCATAGACCTGTACAGGTTACAGGTATAAACATAGAATCATTGAGGTGGGAAGGGACCCTAAAGATCACCTAGTTCCAACCCCCCTGCCATGAGCAGGGAACCACTAGGCCAGGTTGCACAAAACCTCTTCCAGCCTGGCCTTAAAAACCTCCAGGGATGGGGCATCAACAACCTCTCTGGGCAACCCATCCCAGTTCCTCACCACGCTTAGAGTGAAGAATTTCTTCCTAATATCTAACCTGAATCTCTCCTCTCTCAGTTTAAAACCATCACCTCTTGTCCTACCACTGTCTTCTCTGATGAAAAGCCCCTCCCCAGCTTTCCTGGAGCCCCTTCAGGCACTGGAAGCTGCTCTAAGGTCTCCCTGGAGCCTTCTCCAGGCAGAACACCCCAGCTCTCCCAGCCTGGCTCCAGAGCAGAGCTGCTCCAGCCCTGGGATCCCCTTGGTGGCCATAACAAAGAGGAAGGTGTCCTGCACTGGTGCCCTGTTGCTCTCATGCTCTGACCACCCGGAGTGTGACACCCACTGGAATATTGGCTGGTTTATCAGACAGGTCATGCTGCTTTGCTGCATGCATTCCTGTTTGAACTACACTACTTACAGATCTCCTGTGCTAAACTGTTGCCCAGTTTTGGGTGGGGGGGTTAACTACTTGGCTTGTCTGTGTTCATTGTAAGACACAATTGCAGAAAATTGGGCTGAGTGCTCGGCCTGACATATCTGGCCACAGGCATGGACAGCTGGATGTTGCACTCAAAAGAACTTGCCATTACAGAGGTGGCAGTGCCCTCGTTTTGTGGTGAGAAATGAAAAAGTTTTCCCAAGTCTCCTTTCCGCAACATAAACCCACTTGTTGCTCCTAGTATTTCTGCTAGGTGTAATTAAAATGAGGTTAAGCTGTTGTTTATGGTGACCAGAACAAGGGAAAGATTGCACCCATTTTTAAAAGGGCAGAAAGGAGGATCCTAGGAGCTGCCAACCTGACAGCTCCTCTCTGTGCCTGGGAACAGATCCTCCTGGGAGCTGCATAAAGGCATATGGAGGACAGGGAGGTGTTTGAAGGCAGCCAGCATGGCTTCACCAAGGGCAGGTCCTGCCTGACCAACCTGGTGGCCTTCTATGTTGGAGTGACTACATCGGTGGACAAGGGAAGAGCCACAGATGTCATCATCTTTCTGGACTTCTGCTAGGCCTTTGACATGGTCCCCCACAACATTCTTCTCTAAATTGAAGAGATGGGGATTTCATGGGTGGACTGTTTGGTAGATGAAGAATTGGTTGGATGGTCACATGCAGAGGGTGAACAGCTCAATGTCCAGACCAAGATCAGTGACAAGTGGTGTCCCTCAGTAGTCCATATAGGGACCAGCACTGTTTAGTATGTTTATCAGTGACATAACAGTGGGATCAAATGCAATCTGGATCAGATTCCATCCAGAAGGACCTGAACAAGCTTGAGAAGTGGGCCCTGGTGAACTTCATGAGGTTCAGCAAGGTCACATGCAAGGTTCTGCACCTGGGTCAGGGCAATCCCAAGCACTAACACAGACTGGGGGATGAAAGGATTGAGAGCAGCCCTGTGGAGAAGGACCTGGGAGTAGTGGTGACCTGGCATTGTGCACTTGCAGCCCAGACCATCCATATCCTGGGCTGCTTCAAAAGCAGCAAGTTGAGGGGAGGATTCTGCCCCTCTACTCCATTCTGGTGAGACCCCTCCCCTGCAGGGCTAGGTCCAGTTCTGGGGTCCTCAGCACAGGAAAGACATGGACCTGTTTGGGTGGGTCCAGAGGAGGCCACAACATAGATCTAGAGGCTGGAGCACCTCTGCTGTGAGGACAGGCTGAGAAAGTTGGGTGTGTTCAGCCTGAAGAAGAGAAGACTCCAGGGAGGCCTTAGAGCACCTTCTAGTGCCCAAAGGGGCCTATAAGGAAGTTTGGGACAGACTTTTTAGCAGGGCCAGTAGTGATAGGACAAGGGAGGGTGTTTTTAACTGAAAGAGGGGAGATTCAGACTAGATATCAGGAAGACATTTGTAACAAACAAGGTAGTCAGACACTGCCCCAGGTTGCCCAGAGAGGTGGTAGATGCCCCATCCCTGGAAACATTCCAGGTCAGGTTGGATGAGGCCCTGAGCAACCTGATGAAGTTGGAGATGTCCCTGCTCACTGTGTGGACATTTGACTAGATGGCCTTTAACCCAAACCATTCTACAATTCTTATAACAAGTGAAAATTCCTGAAGTTTTTTTTTTGCTTTTTACCAGCAGGTTTCCCAAAGGTCTGGTTTTGCCCTTGCAACGTTACAAACTGATAATGGCTTTTCATGGAGTATCAGAAGGGGTTAGGATCCATGCTACTTGTTAGACCTTACCAGTATGAAACACTCCCCATTTGCAGGCACCTCCAACCTGCTGTTGGCTCCTTGGGGCTGGGTTGCATCCAGACACAGACACACACCTGAGGGTACTTCTCGTGTGCAGCTGGGGCAGGGAACAGCCAAACCCCATGGAAAGGGAAAGGCTGCACTGCCCTGTCCATCTTGGGAAGGAAAACAAAACATCTTGTTGTTAGCAGAGTTTAGTATCTTATGAAGTATGTACTTCGCTTCTCCTACCTCCACATGAAAATGTTTTCTGCCCCTAAATTAAAAGATTTTTTAATAGGTGGTAGATGCCCCATCCCTGGAAACATTCCAGGTCAGGTTGGATGAGGCCCTGAGCAACCTGATGAAGTTGGAGATGTCCCTGCTCACTGTGTGGACATTTGACTAGATGGCCTTTAACCCAAACCATTCTACAATTCTTATAACAAGTGAAAATTCCTGAAGTTTTTTTTTTGCTTTTTACCAGCAGGTTTCCCAAAGGTCTGGTTTTGCCCTTGCAACGTTACAAACTGATAATGGCTTTTCATGGAGTATCAGAAGGGGTTAGGATCCATGCTACTTGTTAGACCTTACCAGTATGAAACACTCCCCATTTGCAGGCACCTCCAACCTGCTGTTGGCTCCTTGGGGCTGGGTTGCATCCAGACACAGACACACACCTGAGGGTACTTCTCGTGTGCAGCTGGGGCAGGGAACAGCCAAACCCTATGGAAAGGGAAAGGCTGCACTGCCCTGTCCATCTTGGGAAGGAAAACAAAACATCTTGTTGTTAGCAGAGTTTAGTATCTTATGAAGTATGTACTTCGCTTCTCCTACCTCCACATGAAAATGTTTTCTGCCCCTAAATTAAAAGATTTTTTAATATTAATTTCCAGACTTACTTGGCACTCGGGTCCCTCAGAACCCAACTGTGAAAGCACTGTCCACAGACCCTCTGGTGTTGGAGTCCCCTCAGAAGTTCTTCCTGCGCATGAAGCAGAAATTGCAGCAGCAGAAGCAACAAGGTACTTGGTATTGCTCTTAAAAAACCCTTTCTATCCTTATAATCTTTGGCAGAGCATGGTTCTTTCCTATATTCTGTGGGCAGTGGGAGAACAAGTGAAACAAACCTGCAAATCTGCCCGTTCCCACCTGGTGGCAGCGTTAGACCGGGTTTCACTGGGTTAGGGCTGTGCCTGCAGCCCGTGGGTGCACCTGCCTCTGGCAGCGACACCACCTGCCTCCAGGCTGCTGGGCTGAGCAGTTCTTTGGAGACTAGACGTAATGCTTTGCCAAGTGGGGGAGAAAGCTGGTGAAAAAAAGCCTAAACCCCTTATTTGCAAGCTCTTCTCTCCTAGCTTTTAATACATGAAGAGAGGAGGTTTGGTTCCATGAGGAATTGTCATATATTTGTGGGTTGTATTTTTTCATATTTTTACTTAACAGCAACCCTGTATATGCTTGAGTCCTGTAACTCACTTTTGAAAACACAGATGAAGTCAGAGATGCATGCCAAAGTCTTAGTAATGCTCAACTTCAAAACTCAACTTACCTGAAGACTCAACCCCCAGTGCCAGTAGCTCCCAGCACAGCAGCAGCATGGCTAGAAGTCCAGAACTTCAAGTTTGGAAAGACAGAAATATTTGAGGGTTTGGGTTGTGGTTTTTTTGTGAATACAGGTTTTTGTTGTGTTTTGTTGTTTTTTTTTGCTGTGCAAGGTGGATTCATTAAAGAGAGGAATAATGTTAGAGATATACTATTAATAAATATGAGGTGCATGCATTAGCTTGGTTTTGGGGGAAAGAAGGAGATATATCTGTCTTTAACAGCAGGGGGGTTGTTCTGGTGCTGACAAAAAGTGAATCCAAACAAATGCCAATTCCTGGGAGAAACAGGCAGTGCTTTCACTATTGCAGTACTAATCAGTACAGCCTCCTCTGACTAAAAACTAAGCTAAATTTATGAATGTGTTTTCATTAGTTCTCAAATATCCCTGATTTTTTAATTATTATTAGTTCCTATTTTTCCTTTTTTTTTCCCACCTGGCAGGTCCAACACCTTCCAACCCAGTCAGGCAGAACATTCCTCCTTCCACAACTACAGAAGTGCCATTAGTCAAACCTGCTTTTTCTGAGCAGCTCAGGAATTATCATCTGGAGTGTGTGGACAATGATAAGGGTGATGAGGATAATTTCCTTGTGGAATCAATGGATGCTGATGATGAAATGTCTGTCAATACAGTGACTACTTCTGTAATCTCTGCCCCTGTCAAAAATGGGGATCAGTTACAAGAAAGGCGGGGAAATGGAAAAGCAAAACATACTGAACTTCATCAAGACAGAAGAGAGTTACAGCCACGTCATAAGCAAGCTGCTCATGAAGTGGGAAAGATACTGGAGAACAATTCTGAAGAGCTCTCCCAGTGCTTTCTTGATATTCTGCTCTCTCCTCCCAGAGTCCACATTCCAAGGAAGGAAAAGGCAAAAGAAGGCTCTAAGGTCGCTTTGGAAAAACGTCCTACAGATCAAGTTGTTGGCAAAGCAGACAAAGAGGTGGGAAAACTTTAGCTGGTAGTTGTGATTTATTTATTGTCAGAAGTGATGAGCACTCAGAAGAGAATAAACTGCTATTTTATTAGATTGTACTGGTAAACACTTTCCCATCAAAAGGATTATTTTTTTTCTGCACTCCAAGATGACAAAGGTCAGGGCTTTTTTTTGTGTTTTGTTTGTTTTTTTGTGTTTTTTTTTAAAAGGGCTTTTGTTTTAGTATTCACAAACCATAGTGTGGGTTGAAAGGGTTCTCTACCTGAAGGAATCTCCTACATCTTCTCTTTAGTATGTTAATTGCCAAGTGTTGGTATGATGGACCTGAAACCAATCACTGGCCAATGCAGCTCCTGGCTGTCCAAGCAGGGGAGAGACTTTCCGTAGCTGCAGGCTGGGGCAGGTTCTCAAGTTAACTGAGACTGTACAGCTGATAGTGAGGGAAAAGTCTTGGCTTTCCTACAGAATATCCAGGCTTCTGTTGAGTTCAGTGGGACAAGAACCTTTTCCTAGCAGGCTGGACTGCAGCTCTGCTGTTCAATTCGATCCGATGCTGCTGGGCAGTATTTACAGCTCTGGGTACACCTGGAGGACCACGGTGTGCAGTGAGGTGGGCTGCATTCCTCAGCAGCTGCCCTCTCTCAGCTGAAGTGGTGAGGGGAAATAGCAGTTTCAGCTGCTACAAAAGGCTTTCTGAGAAGTTTTCTATAAGACAAAGGCCAGTGTTTCACTGTTTCACACACTGTTTTCTGAAGTGCAACTGCCTTGCTGGCTGTGGAGGGCAAAATGAAGGTGCTGCAGCTCTGTCAGCAGTTTGCAATACCAGGTACAGCCTTTTTAATGCTGGTTGAAGTTCAGCAATGATGTAGCTAATAAATACAATTCTGTTTTTTCTTGGGTATCTTTTTCTGAACAGTAATGCAGGACAGAGGACAAGGTGTAAGAGGTATGGCAAAGTGCTGGCATTTCTTGTGAGGAGCTTTTTGGATTTGCTAGAGGTCTTGGCCAATGACTTTGTCTTTTGAAGGTCAATATTCAATTACTCAAAAGTAACTGTAATTTAAATTACTCTCTTCATTTATGCATTAGACTCCAGCTTGATTATGCTTAAACATTTGTGTGTATAGCATTTGTTTTCAATTTTTCTGTTCAGGAGAATGGTGCCCAAATATCTCAAGTGATCCATCAGTTAATGTCTGCTTTGCTAATAATGCCTTGGTGGTGCTGTAGAGCTCAGTCTAATTTAAGAATTACTACTTTTTGTTTTTGTGGTAACAGAAAAATGTCTGCCTAACCAGCTGGAGAATTAGGGTGATGGATGGCAACACAGCAATATATGTTGAAGGAAAACGGAAGTAAGAAAACTTTTCTGCTTTAAATGCGATGTAGAACATGTTGGTTGGGCTCTCAGCAGCTGAGCTAGAAAGGCTAAACCCTCTGCACCTGGCTGAGCAGCTGCAGCTCTGACACTTGCCTTCTGGGAATATCTTGGTAACTCCTGGAAGCAGTTTCACACACTTCTTGCTGCTTTCCTCCCTAGCCACAGGCAATACAGCCCTCCGCCTGCACCCTAACCCTTGTGGCAGCACTTACAGCTCTTACTGCTTTTTAAAACCCTTTCTGACTAAGCACACTGGAGTGTTTGCTTCAGAGCCTGCAGGACAGCAGAGCAGGTGCAGGGGGGTGAGGCTGAGGAGTGGTGAACAGAAGGAACCGTGGCTGTCCTGGCTGAGGTGGCCATGGGAGCTGTGCCTCCATGGAACCTGTTCTTAGCCTTTGGTAGATACAAAGTGATGTTGTAGTTCAAACTTCTTTATCAAGGAAGAGGTGAATTCCTTCATGGGAACATGAGGTAGGGTGCCCACATCCAGGAAACTACTGGTTAAATTGTTATTTCAAAGTCCAGACCTGAGTCAATCTAAGTGCTTAAGAGGAACAGTGACAAATGTGTTTGTCAAGTAGGTCCCCCAAACTGGTGCTGACTGGGGGTCTCATGAGCTTCTGCTTCATGTCACAGAAATTCTGTGTTGTGGTTGCTTTCAGCCAAACTTGGGGCAGACTGCTATCAGCCTTATGCTCCTGCCATGTCACTTGTGAGTAACTTGGAGTTACTCCCACAGCTGCTAGATGGTGAGCCATGGCAACAGCTGACCCACCTGAACACTGATTCTGTGGGGTTTTGGTGATGTTTTTGGTCAGATTGTGTTCAAATAGCTAGATGATCAGGAAAACAAGTGTCAGAGCAGAGGGGTTTAGCTTGCAATAAATATGTTTGAAAACAGTCTGAAAATACATCCTTGGGAAAGAGAGTTCTGTAGCTAGAAACTACCTCACCCGGTGACTTCCATGCACCTCACTGGGCAGCAGCAGGGGTGTGAGGGGCAGGAACTCATTGTGCTTCCTGAGCCGGGCCAGAGGCTCTACCTGCTGGGGTAGGATTTGGAGGATTTTGACATTTGTTTCATGGCTCTATGGCAAAAACTGGTTCTCTCCCTTTGCACCCTTCCCTACTAACACATTGGCTTTCTGTTTGTGTCGGTGTGTATCTGATGCATGGTGCTTACATGATAATGTCTTTGTTCTGTAGATCCCCTAAAGTGACTAATCATAGTGTTTTGTGACTAGTTACACAGTTGAATGTTTTCATTGTGGTCTTGGTTTCAGTCCTTAATACTGAGCAGTAATGTGATATTTTGGTTACTGTTGTAAAAATATATAGATTAAAAAAGCAAACAGCCAAACAAAAACAAACACAAAAAATGTCCAAACATTCTGTAGGTTTTCTGCTCTAATGCTTGGGTCTGGTTTTTGTTTCTCATGGAGAATTCCCTTAGTAATTTATTAACAACTCTAATTTTTGTACATGTTAGGGCTCCTTCTTAAGTTGTTCTTGCCTTTAAAAAGGAAGGTCAGAAATAAACATTATAATCCTGGGGAAAATAAACATTTGACCTGTACTTTTGTAACTTACTTAGTGGTATCAGTGTGATAAGGAGCTGGATGGAGTCTCGTAGTCTGTTTTGCTTCTGCAGCCGAACATGAAGCTGATGTTCTGTGACTGACTTGTGCAGTACTTGACATGTTCAGTTGGTCTCCTGCCCAAGTGTTAACAAGCCCAGAACTGTTTCTCCTCCATGCTAAGAGAAAAAAAAACTAGCCCATCCTGCCAGTGTCTGTATTGCTCATCGAATACATTAACACTGCCAGTCTCACATGGAATACCAATATTCTAACTTTACATTCCTCCTCCTGAGAGAGCAGAGTGTTGTTTCTGTTCTCCATGTCACCTGTCTTTCCTCAGGGATATGAAGAACCTGCCCTGGCGCAGTAACGCCATCACGGAGCGCGTCGCCCACAACCAGGTGAAAACATCATCTGGCAACATCTACCTGCTGGAGGGAAACATGGATGAAACTTCCATGAGTAAAGAAGGTCAGATGATTCTGAGTGTGACATTACAAACTGGAAAGGGCTTTAGATTTATGACTGAACGTCCTGCTG